AGGTGTTCTGTAGGAGTTTTTCCACATGTAGATGTATTTCTGATGTATTTGTTGGGAGGAAAGTGATCTCCATGTCTTACTCCTCTGCCATCTTGGAAGGTCCCCCCCAAAATTAATCATTTTAAAGTGTACAATTCACTGACATTTAGTACATTCACAATATTGTGAAATAATCACCTCTATCTAGTTCCAAAACACTTTTCATCATTCTAAAATAAAATCCTATACCCATTAAGTAGTAACTCTCCATTCCTCCCTCCTCCTGGCCTCTGGCAACCATCATTCTGGCTTTCTGTTTCTATGGCTTTACCTATCCTGGATTATTTCATATGAATGGAATCACGCGATATATGTGATATTTTGTGTCTTGACTTTTTCACTTATTGTAATGTTTTTGAAGGTTCGTCCACATTGTAGCATGTATCAGTAGTTCATTCCTTTCTCTTTTTTTAATTGTGGTAAAACATACATAATATAAAATTTGCCATTTTAACCATTATTTAGTGTATAGTTTAGTGGCGTTAATCACATTCACAATATTGTGCAACCATCACCACTATCTATTTCTAAAACTGTGTCAACACTAAACAGAAACTCTGCCTATTAAGTAATAAGTCCCCATTCCCCACTCCTCCCAGCTGTTGGTAACCTCTAATCTAATTTTTACCTCTATGAATTTACCTATTCTAGATATATCCTGTAAGTGGAATCATACAATATTTGTCCTCTTGTGTCTGGCTTATTTCACTTAGCCTAACATTTTCCGGGTTCATCCATGTTATAGCACATTTCAGAATAAATCCTTTTTATGATCGAATAATATTCTGCTGTATGGGTATACCACATTGTTCATCTGTTGATGGACACTTGTGTTGTTTTCACCTTTTGGCTCTTGTAATAATGCTGCAATGAACACTGCATACAGGTGTTGTTTGAGTCCTTGTTTTCAGCTTGTTTGGGTCTGTACCTAGGAGTGGAGTGGTTTGCTGACCTCTGGTCTAGATTATGTATAATGATAAACTAAATTCCAGAGTGGTTAAGCCTCAGTCTTGATAATGTATAGTTTTATCAGATTTTTAAATTTTTGCCAATTTGGTCTGTATGTAATGGTGTTTCATTGTGATTTTAATTTGTATTTCCTGATTTCTAATGGGGGTGAACGTATTTCCACATGTTTATAAGCCATTGAATTTCCTGTTTTGTACTATGCCATTAATTTTCCTATTGATGGTTTGCCTTCCTAAATTAATATTGATGAATTGATGTCTCCAAATAATGTTTACTTTGTATTTCTGCAGAACAAATAGTGGAGAAAGATGAAGGTCCGTATTATACTCATCTGGGATCTGGCCCCACGGTAGCCTCCATCCGGGAACTCATGGAAGAGC